TCAAAGCCTCATCCAAGTACATCCTTTTTAGAAACTTGCCTGATGACTGACCACTGCTGCACTTTCTCTTCTGAATTTCTATCTCTACTTGTCATGGACAGTTTGCTAATTGCTTTATGTGGATTAGTCTGCCTCCTGGCTTAGAATCAAAGTGCAAGTAAGAATAGAGTAGTCTCCCTTAGCCACGGTTTCATTTTCTGTGGTTTTAGTTACCTGTCATCAACTGCAGTCTGAAAGTATTAAATGGAAAATTCCAGAGATAAACAATTCCAAAGTTTTAAATGGCGCACCATTCTGAGTAGGTTGATGAGATATGGAGCCTTCGCACGGGGAAGTGAGTTCTTCCTTTGTCCAGTGTCCTCATGCTGTTTACCCTCCCTGCTGTTAGACACAGCCATCTCAGTGATGAGATCAACTGCTGCAATATAGCGGTGTTTGTGTTCAAGTCACCCTTGTTTTACTTAACAATAGCTCCAAAGTGCAAGAGGAATGGTGGCAGCTTGAACTGCCAATGAGTGCTTCATTTAAACGAAGAGGTAAAAGTTCTAGACTTCAGGAAAGAAAAAAAGTCATATGCTGAAGTTGCAAAGATATATGCTAAGAAGGAATCTTCTACCAGTGAAACTGTGAAGAAGAAAATAGAAATTTATGCATAGTACATATAGGATTTGGTAGTATCCAGGATTTCTGGCATCCACTGGGGGTCTTGGAATGTATCCCCTGTGGATAAGGGGGACTATTGTACAGATGTCTCCTGAAGAACAAGTGACAGCTCATATCCCCCATGATATCTGAATCCAAACAGACCAAACCGATGTTTCTCCCCCACCAAAGCCACCTAGTGAAGCATTGTTCTGGCTCAAATGCACACAACAGTTTACATCACCAGGCAGAACATTTAGCTGGGCCTCTAAAATGTCTTTTCCAATTTGTGTGGCTTTATTGTTATTTTTTAAAGTATTTTTATTTTTTAAATTTACAGATAACATGTTTTTATCATGTGTATAATGTGATATAGTGTGTGTATATATACACACTGCGGAATATGTAGTCCATATGTACGTAGTATATACATATATACATTGTGTGTATATATACAAATCGTGGAATGGTTAAATATAGCTGATTAGCAAATGCCTTACCTCACATAGTTATTTTGTGGCAAGAGCACATAATATCCTCTCTTTACATTTTTCAAAAATACAATATATGAATATCACCTATAGTCACCTTGCTGTACAATAAATCTCTTGAAATATATTCTTCCTCTCTAAGTGTAATAATGTGTCCTTTGACCAACAAGTCCTCATTTCCCCCTCTACAATGACTTTAACAGTTTTCCTCAAAAAAAAAAAAAAAACAAACTCCTTATGGTTTTCTTCGAAGAGAGAAATAGTGTGCCTCAAAGAGGTATTCAAATCTTCAAATCGGCTAAGGCAGACTACTGCCTGGAGACTGGAAATAAAGCCCTCTTGCCTGAACCTCTGTTCACACCAAGGGCCTCCTGTGATATGGGTACAAATCATTTCATAAAAACCAAGAGAACCTTGGGAAAGAATGAGGCTCAGACACCTGTGCCGAGACTGGGTAATTTATAAAGAAAAAGTGGTTTAATGGATTGTGGCTGGGGAGGCCTCACAGTCATGGCAGAAGGCAGAAGGCATATGGTGGTGGACAAGAAAGAATGAGAGCCAAGTGAAAGGAGAAAACTCCTTATAAAACCATCAGATCTCATGAGACTTATTTACTACTACGAGAACAGTATGGGGGGAACCACCCCCATGATTCAATTATTTCCTACTGGGTCCCTCCCACAACACGTGGGAATTACGGGATCTACAGTTCAATATGAGATTGAGTGAGGACACAGCCAAACCATATCACCTGGTGTCTGCAGAACTACCTTCTTGCTGAAATCTTTCAGATCCCTTCTTTTACTCTCTGCAAACCTCTGCTCCCTCTTCCTGCTGCCCCTCAGTCCCCGCAGGAAACAAAGCATCAGAAGGCACCTTCTTCCCTTGCAACTCACTGCCTCCATCTCTCCCACCTCTGTTCCTCTTACAACAGAGGAATGTCTCTCCTCCTGCCTTGGGCTGATTCCGCCATCTGCAAACTGAATTTCATCCCCTCCTTCCTTCTCTCGAACCTGATGCCGTTGATGATCCCTTTTCCTCTCATTTAATCAAATTGCTCCCTCAAATACCTTCTCTCACTGGCTTATGAAAACTTTTTTTTTCTGGCATTAGAAAACAAAAATAAGCCAAAGCAACAACATAATTGGAAACAAACACACCAACAGACTCTCCGCAACCCCACATCCTTGCAGCACCACACTCTATCTTCCCTCCCCATGGAGCCCACTCCAATCCGGCTTCTGCCCTCGTTAACCACGTCCCCTGAGGAGCTCAGCTGCAGCACCTTCAGGCCACTAAACCTGATGACGTCCAGTCCCCACCTTCCTTGCCTTGTCAGCTCCATTCACTCACTACACGCTTCCTGTCTACACACCTCTCCTCTGGACTGCGGAGATCCCACGTTCTTCTGGTTGTCTTCCTGCTGCTCTTCCTTCTCTCTCTCCTTTGTAGTTAGATCCTTCTTTACCCAGCCAGATGGTGCTTCTCCAGGCTTGGTTTGGGGCTCGTCTCTTTTATTCCACTGTCTTCTTTCCCTTCGTGGTCTCATCCACACCCAAGACTTTAGTTACCAAATTGATATCTTCATTTCAGAATCCTCTTGTCCAACCTCTTTCTTGACATCTTTATTTGGATGCTTCAAGGTCATTGTGAATTCAGTAAGTCCCAGAAGAGGCTGAAACTCATCAACCCTCCCCTCCTAATCCAAAGAAACAGGTTTTTTTTCAGAGTTCTACACCCTAGTTAACATAGTACAGTACAACCCACATGATCTAGCAGTTTTCTGTCTTAGTTCATTTGGGCTGCTATAACAGAATACCATAGACTAGGTAGCTTTTAAACAACATAAATTTGTTTTTCTTAGTTCTTGAGGCTGGGAAGTCCAAGATCAGGGTTCTGGCAGATCTGTTGTTTTGGGAGGGCCTGGTTACTGTTTATAGACAGGTTTCTTCTTGCTGTGTTCTCACATGGTGGACAGGGCAAGGCAGTTCACTAGGGCCTCTTTTATAAGGGCACTAATCTTATTCTGGAGGGATGCATCCTCATGACCTAATGACCCCCAAAGATCCCACAACTTTTTTTTTTTTCTAAGACAGGGTCTCACTCTCTTGCTCAGGCTGGAGTGCAGTAGCACAGCCACAGCTCACGGCAACCTCCACCGTTTGGCTCCAATGATCCTTCCACCTTAGTCTCTTGAGTAGCTGGGACTATGAGTATGTGTTATCATGCTAGGCTAATTTTTGTATGTATTTTTTGGTAGAAACAGCGTTTTGTCATGTTGCCCAGGCTGGCCTAAAACTCCTGTGCTCAAGGGATCCACTCACTTTGGCCTCCCAAAGTACTGGGATTACAGGCATGAGTCACCACACCGGGCTGGCCCCACCTCTTAATACCATCATCCTTGGGGTTAGGATGTTAATGTAACATTTTGGGAGACGTAAATATTCAGCCTTTAACATTATCCTTGACAACTCTTTTGACATTACTTCCCATGGCCAATTCTGCAACAAGTATGAGGATTTTACTTTCGATATCTCTTTGTCTCTGCAATTCTTTTCATTTCTTTCCTGCTGCTTCCACCACCCACCACACCACGGCCACCATTTTCCTGGTCTTCCCTGATAGCCTGCAACTTGCATCTTCTTACACACCCCTGCTTTGCCCTTGCCAACTTCCATAGTACAGCCAGAACATTTCTTAAATAGACATCCAATCATGTCATTCCTCTTATCTGTGCTCTCCACCCTGGCTCAACACTCAGACTAACTTGTTCTTATAATAAAGACTGAACCACTTCATAGGGCTCATGGGGCCCTGCATGGTTGGTTTGCCTTCCCAGGCTCATTTTATACCAACATCTTCCTCACTCTCTGTGCAGCAGCTCATTTACCTTCTCTCAGTTCCTTGGAGATAAGAATTTTCTTTCTCTCGATAACACTTCTATCCTCTTAGCCTGGAAAATTCTCTTCCTACTTCTCTCCCCTCTGCCTAATTAATTCTCCTTCTCTTTAGATCATGACCCCACTATTGCTTCCTCAGAAAACTCTCTGCCTTCATCAGATCTCCCACCTGTCCCATCTTAAAACTACACAGCTTCATATCATTTAAATGAGTCACAACATCACAATTATTTAATAATTATTTTATTAGTATTTCTATTCTCCACTATACTTTGAACTTCTTGAAGGCAAAGATTGTGCCTGTGTCTAGTGTTGGTGCATGATGGGTGTTATATTTTGACTAATACATGTTGAGCTTCTATTATGTACCCTGTAAATTATTACTGCTATTGGATATACTATGAAAGATGGGGCGAATTCAAGATTTCGAGGCCTGAAACATCTACAATTTTAGGAGCCCTCTTTAAGAAAAATAATAACAGATTATGGATATAAAAATGACTGCAGCCCCCTTGAGAGAGTCCCTGCTATTCAGGGCCCTGAAGCTTAAGCCTCATTAGCTTTATGACACATATGCTTCTACGCAGAAATAGACCATTTTTGCAAAAGCAACTGCTGGCTAAATTGGGCTAGGTTCAGCTGCTTAGAAAAAAGGGCTTGGCATTAGAGCCAGAATAGGCCTGGAAAAAGCAGAATCAGGGGGAAAATGCAGATTGGTTATTTCAAAGTTACTTTCCTTTTAAGGCGAAAACAGAGAAGACTTTTAAATTAAATGACTCAAGTTGACTGGGATCTCCTGGGTTTTTCTTTTCTTTTCTTTTTTTTGGAAAACTGATCCATTTCAAAGTTCAGTTTAATTATGTGCCGCTTAGCACAAGTGACTCCAATCTCTTTGGGTCTGATGCTGGGGCTTCAGGCAGGTGGTTAGTCTAAACTAATTGCCTCCCATAAAATTTGTTGAACACAGGTGTTTTTATAAAAGGGACGCAAAAGAGAGGCGCAGAGAGAAGATGAGAAGACTGAGGCAGAGGTTGGAGTGATGCAGCCAGGAGCCAAGGAATGCCTGCCGCACTTTGATTTCAAATATCTCACCTCCAGAATTGCAAGAAAATCAATTTCTGTTGTTTTAAGCTATCAAATTGTGAACATTTGTATACGGTAGCCCCAAGAAACAAATACAGGAAGTACTGACATGGGAGAGTTCCCTGATCCCCCTTGCAGGACTTAAGACAAGGGTGTGGCTCCCCTGGGCGGTTGCTGCTGCAGCTCAAACCTCTGAGAAGCGAGGGAGCACGAAGACGGGGAGATGCAGGAGCTGGGGTAAGTGCTTTGGGCTCCGGCCCCATCGTAGCGTCTAAGGGTGGGTGTCTGCTGCCCCAGTGTTACAATGCTCTTTTAGCTTCGCCGGCTGACCAAGTGTTAACCAGCTCAATGGACCCTCTTCCTCTTTATAAGGTTATTGTGTCAGTGTAACAGCTTTCTGTATCCTGAGCTCTTGCCCCGCGTCCTGGAAGACTCAGGTCACACAGGGGCTTGAAGGATGAATGTGGAGGTTTTTCTTGAGCGAATGTGGAGGTGACTCTAAGTGGGATGGACGAGGAGCCAGAAGGGAGGATAGAGTGTTAAGATGATCTTCCCCTGGAGCCTGGCCGTCCAGTGGCTGACCCCTCTCCAGCCGCCCCCAGCTGAACCCCTGGCATTTAGATGTTCCTCCTGTCTTTGCTGCGTGCTTCCACCGCTGGTCTGCGTGTGGAGCCTGGGGTTTCACATTCATATGAGTCCAGGATGGGGGCCATGGTGGGCCAAAAGGCAACATTTTGGGTGCAAAAACAGAAACGCCTGTTCCCACTTAGGCCGCGGGCCTCCAGGCTGGAGTGCGGGGCCTTTGCCAGGGAACCGCCGTCTTCTACCCACTACTTCCATCTCCTGTTCCTATCAGTTTCTCAAACTCTAACTTGCACGTAATATTTTCAACTCCCTTTTCAGTCATTATTGTTGCCAGCTTGCACAGTGAATGTGTGTGTATGTTAATGAATACAAAGAATATAAACAGTACATCATAAATCTCATTTGCATCAATCTCTGCTCATAAGAATTATTTTCTCAGCATTCCTGAATCTGAAGGAGAGACATTACAGTATGCTGAGTAGACAGCAGAAACTGGGAGTTAAGTTTGCTGAGTCTCTGTAATGAACATGCTGCTATTCAGGAAACACACTAATACATTCTCGTAATTACGATTTGGTAACTATTTGATAAATGTAATTCTTTTCAGGTAGCGTACCTGGTAATTACTTACATAAATAGTAGTTCAATCATTATCTGATGCGTCTTGTGGAGGTTTTGGTTCAGCTGGACCAGGGATGATGTCTGTTAGGACGTGAGATTGGAAGATACAAGCTGCTTTTTCTGGGGAACGTGTCTGTCGAAGTCAGGATGTAAGATGGCAAACCCCTTCCTTTGCCTGTCACCATCGGCATGGAGAGAGTAGTGATAAATCATTGTAATAACAGTGGCAGTGGACTGTCAGCTCGGTGAGGGAATCCAGATGAATTTTCCTTTTCAAGCCATCAGTTTTAAGCAAATGAGAGGCCTAAAGCAAAGTGTAAAAATAACTGCTGTAAACCAAGAGAATGACTGTAGATACAGGAGATATTAACTGACAGAATTTCCTTTTTTCTGCTTGCTCTTCAAGGATGACTGGACACTGTAAAACCTCATTAAATCAAAGGTTTTACATCTGCGATTTCTTTTCAGTTCCAACAAGGGCTACGCTTGCAGTTTCTGATTTACTGCCACATCCCCAGTGCCTGGCACATGGTAATAATAACGATAATGACGGCAATCATAAACATTTGTGCATTTACCTTTTAGTCTGGCTGTATTCTAAGTGCATTGTGTATAATTTATCCTTAGAACTACCTGAGAGGCAGGTGATTTTATTTCCATTTGCACCTTGAAGAAACGGGTGCAGAGAGTTAAGGCAGTTGCCCAAGCCGCACTATTAACATGAGTGAAGGTAGGATTTGAACCCAGGAGGTCAAACTCCAGAGCTTAAGAAACTTTCCAGCTTAAGAAAGATCAGGAATACTCAGTAAATAACACCAATGAACTCACTCTTACCGAGCACTTACAACATGCCTGGCACTGTCTGTCTTTTGCATGTATTTACACATTTAGTATCTGTTAAGTACTTATTTATGGGTACTCTTTTAGATCTGATTTACATAAAAGAAAACTGAGGCACAGGACAATTTAGAAAATTGTCCAGACTTGATATTAATAGCTATTATGTGGCAGTAGCAGGCTTCCCAAGACAGACTATCTCAGCTAGTCTCCATCCTCCTAATCACTAAGCACTGCCACCTCTCCTGTGAACATATCATAAGATGCATCTTCATCATAGTTGGGGGGAAAGAGCCCTCCTGAAAATAACAATTTCAGTATTGTTAAGGCCGTTTAGAGGCAACCAGAACAGTTTTGGAAATGCAGAATCTCGGGCCCATTTAAAACTCATTGAGCCAGAATCTGCATTTAAATGAGTTCTCCAGCTGATTCAGTTCAAATTGAAATCTGAAAAGTACTTCTCTAGACCAGAGTTCTCCAATTTTGCTGCATATCAGAATCATGTGAGGAGTAGAGACACTAGTTTATTTGGCCTGGGGGTGTTGCCTGAAAACTGGGATTTAAAAAAGCCCCCATCCAGGTGATGTTAATGCATAGCCAAGGTTGAGAACAACAGGTATAGAGACTACAGTTTTGGAGTCCTTTGTCCCTGTAATTATTTATTCAACAAATAACACTCTTCAATAATACAGGCATTGCTGTGGGTACTACGACTATGTAACAGCAACCAGATACAGTCCCTGAACTTGGGGAATGAGCTGGGCAAGTTACTTATCCTTTCTGAGCCTCAGTTTCCTTATCTGTGAAATGCAATAGGCAGCTTTCTGCTGCATGATGACGTTTCTGCCAATGATGGACTGCATATGTGAGAGTGGTCCCATGAGATCATAATGAAGCTGAAAGTTCCTATCATCTAGTGATGTCGCCATCATAATGTCCTAGTGGTGGTGACAGGAGGATAGAAAAACCCAACAACAGGTAAAATAAGAACTAGCCAAATAAACTACAGGATAACAGAAAACTCAATAAGAGAAAAAACAGCCAAAACCCTGTTCAGAGTGACATGTCCATGATGCTTCCAGGCAAACCCAAATAAGAGAGAAAGTATGGGTTAGTAATCAGGGGTCCCTGAAATGCTCTTTTTTTTCCCCAGAATATCTAATGATTATTTCATTCCCTAATTTAAAAAAAAAACGCCCATAAAATAGAAATGCTGGGTGGTTTCAGGAGAAGCAGGAAAATATCAAGCAATAGTTTTACCAACAGCAAGAAAGGAGCTGTTAAAATTAGCTACAAGGACAAAGATGAGCCTGGGCTGATAAGACCCTAGCTAACAGGATGGGGGCTAAGCTGATTGAAACCAGCGAAGACCAACACAGCATTGGATTTGACCCAGATCCTACTCCAGACCTAATTATACACTCATTACTCTCCCAAATCTCTGACTCACCTGTGCCATGACAGATCTGACCATGCCCATATTTACTATAAAAATGGGTGGCACTCCAAGTCTAAGATATCACCACCTTTTTCCTAGAAGCCCTCAGGATTCCACCTTTTAATTAGAAGAGCTTATTAAATTAGAAACCCAAACTCCATTGTGTGCAACTCACTTTTCCAGGTTCACTCACACTCTTGCTCTTGAGTGGGTACTTTCACTTTGCAATAAAATCTTCTTGCCTTTTGCTTTACTCTGACTCATCTCTGAATTCTCTCTTGCAACGATGTCAAGAACCTGCAACACTGGCTGGGGCTGGGGTCTCACCGGCATCTGGAGACCCACACAAGCCCTCCAGTGATATTGTAAATACTGTTTCCTGGAACTGGGTTTATGACTAGAAGATACCCATAGTTTGTGAGAGCTTGTTTGCTCCCTAGTAAGCTGACCTTTCTGAAGCTGCCTTTCCCAGGATGCCTTGCAGGAAGATGTATGCCTGCAATGTACAGCAGCTGGCTTGGCAGATGCCTGGAGGACAGCGTTTTGGCTTGAATGGGCAGACAATGCACTATGGTTTACTTGTCTCACTCTTGAGGTTTTCACAGATGAATTCAGCAGCTATTTATATCAGAAAGATTATTGACATTCACTCTAAAACAATATGTTGGTAAATACTTATTGTTTATCAGGGTTCTATATAGTATTAGGCATATTTAAATCCCTGTAACTTTGCAAGGGAAATGGCATTCCCCACAATTCCCCCCAATTCCCCTTGGAATCTGGTACCAAGGAGGCATCTGCCCAAGTTCACAGCATAAATCCAAGCCTGTCTGATTTCAGAATCTGTGCTCTTTTCGCAACCATATGATATCTTCATATGGCTCACACTGTGAATTTGGGTCTGTTTGATTCTGAAATCCATGCTCTTTTTACAACCATATGATACCTTCCATACTTTTCAGTTTGACTTCTTTAATTTATGCTTTTAACAGCTGATTACCATTTTGCTCCAGAGAATTTCCTAAGGATTCTTTTTTCCTGCTAAGTTTTTAGAAAAGTGAGAATGTACGTCATTGTTATGACCTAGAGAGGTTGTCCTCCTTTTTCCTCAGGGATGTATTTACCTGTTACTCTAAAAATTCTCCTAGAAATGGAAATTACCTTAACTTTAAGCCAAAGTAGGATCAGTTCTGTGCTTCGTATTTTTTTTCCTTAGGCTTTTTATTTTTATCTTCACAATGATATCATCTGAAGGCATAGGAGGCAGTCTGTGTGATTTGAAGAATGCTCGAGGCATTTGATGGATTGCCATAATTCTAGAAATTTTTATCAAGGCATTCTATACCCCTGTTAATGAAAATATATTGAATTGAAGGTGAATCTATTTCATTGTTCGATTGATTTATTGAACAGAGTAGCTAATCACTCAAAAAATGGAATAGTCAGCTGGGTGCAGTGGCTCACGCCTGTAATCCCAGCACTTTGGAAGCCCAAGGCAGGCAGATCATGAGGCCAGGAGTTTCAGACCAGTCTGGCCAACCTGGTGAAATCCTGTCCCTACTAAAAATGCAAAAGTAGCTGGGCGTGGTGG